CCAGCGATAACTATTCCATAACCATTGGATACATAGAATGTAGTTTAAAATGGCTACTTCATATTAACACTAATCATAAGAACAGGTTCTTTATTACCAAGATCAAGTCGGATCTATACGGTTACTCTATAACTTGGAATCGCGATATTATAATCAATGTCTGAGTTAATACCTCTTTATAAAACTTATTCCACAGGTGATGCTCAACGAGGAGGCCAAGAAGTGTCGTTTCAACCCGTTCGATGTGACCAAGGTGTGGCCCCAGAAGGATTTTCCCCTGCTGCCGGTTGGCAAACTCGTCCTCGATCGCAACCCCACCAACTACTTCACGGAGGTGGAGCAGCTGGCCTTCAGTCCGGCCCACATGGTTCCGGGGATCGAGCCGTCGCCGGATAAGATGCTCCAGGGTCGTCTCTTTGCCTACGGGGACTCGCAGCGTCATCGCTTGGGCGTCAACTACATGCAGATACCGGTCAACTGTCCTTACAGGGTTAATGTGAGGAACTTCCAGCGGGATGGCCAAATGACGGTGACTGACAATCAAAACGGGGCCCCCAACTACTTCCCCAACTCGTTCTGCGGCCCCAAGGAAAGCCCCCGGGCCCTGGGCCTGCAAACCTGCTGCCCCCTGACCGGAGATGTCTACCGCTTTATGAGCGGTGATACCGAAGATAACTTCAGCCAGGTCACCGACTTTTGGACCTACACCCTTGACAATTGCGGCAGGAAGCGTCTTATTCGCAACTTGTCCGAGCATCTGACTGAGGCCAGTCAGTTCCTTCAGGAGCGGGCAGTAAAACTATTCACCATGGTCCACTCCGATTTCGGACGACTGATGACGGAGGCCCTGAACACGGCCAGAATATCCAAATTCTAGAACATTTCACTAAGCACTTTAGACGTAGCAGCGCAGAGGATATTGAATATTATTATTATTGTAATGAAAATGTTTGGTTTAGAATCTTGTTTAACTCATAAAATTGTCATGGCTAATGTGATTGATTATTAAATTGTAAATTTGAATTCAATTAGGTACATTTTTTAAACGGCTAAAAGATATCTACTCTTTAGTTATGTGTGACATGCATATAAGTTCTGCAAAAATAATAAAAAGTTAAGTTAAGTACTCAACAAGTAAATGTATAAGGTCTAACAAATTTTATGGTGGAAATGGGGGTTTACAATTTGAAATACTTTATTTTCAATCTTGTCTGACCTTAAATATGAGATTGTAAAATGTTGCTTTCTAGCAGTTAATCTCGATTCAAGTTTATGCTTCGACAAATACTAAAAGGTCTTCCCCTAAAGGTTTCCCTGCATACTGTTGGGAGTTGACCTTGGCTGGTGGCAAACGATCATCGCTAATCTGGTTACCCAACCGATCTGATGGCTGTGATTATCCAACCCGGATGATAGTGCCCTTTCGGAGACCTCTCCTCATCGCCACCCCATCGAGATCTGTCATTAGCTAGCCGCTCTGTTTACATGCTACACACGCGCATTGGGGTATTTAAGGTATACCAAAAGAGTTTTTTGTAAAAAAAAAGGGTTTTAGGGTCTGCGAACTGGCTTCAAAGTTTATCACTCATACGCACTGTTGCCCTTGATCAAAAAGTTTAGATTTCTCCCCTCTCCCTTTTTTTATTTAATGGTTCCAACCAAATTCATAATTTGACAAGACTAAATGATATTTTTCGACCAAATACGTGTAGTATTTGTAATATTTAAGAAAAATGCCGAAAAAAAATTTAAGTTCTCACATACATTATACCCTTGTAGAGGGTATTATAATTTCAGTCAGATGTTAGCAACGCAGTGAATATATATATATATATATTCTTGATCAGGACCAATAGCCGAGTCTATCTAGCCATGTCCGTCTGTCCGTCTGTCTGTCTGTCCGTCTGTCCGTCTGTCCGTTTCTATGCGAACTAGTCTCTCAGTTTTAAAGCTATCGCGATGAAACTTTCCCAAAAGTCTTCTTTCTATTGCAGGTAGTACATACATATGTCGGAGCGAGCCGGATCGGGCCACTATATCTTAAGGCTTCCATAGGAATATTCAAACAAATATAAGAAAATTCATTGTAACTTTGTAGGAAGTAGGCGTTTTGATTCTTGACTACTTATGTATAAACAAAATTAAAATAGATACGCTGAATCTGGAATCCCTGGAACTGTATCGAGTGAGCATTACTTTATCTGCAAGGGTATATAAGCTTCGGCTGGCCGAAGTTAGCTTTCTTTCTTGTTTTCTGCTCACTTTAATCTACTACTACTATAATGATTAATAAATATTTCTCCCCCCTTCATGATCTCATTTCGAATAATCTTTACCGCTTTACCACCTTCGTAACGCACTGTACAGGGCACCCTGGATATAAAGCCGAAAAGCTTGTCCAACTCAAATAGTCGGCGGCAAATGTAGTAAATGTTGGCAACTGGTTAGGTGACTTGAAAAGCCAGTAACTAAGAACACAACAATAAACTTACTTTAAGCTCAATGGCCAGACGATGTTCTAACTATCTTTGTTGTAGTTGCCTTTGTTGTTGTTTGCTCAACTGCAGGGCTTTTATCAGCGATTGTTGTTTTTGTTTTTTTAGTTGTTATTGTTGAGCTGACCGCATGAATGAAAGCGAATAGGGAAAAAGGCAGACACACACTTGTTGATTTCTTTATGCGATTTCGTGGCTCGTTATAATTAACGTTTCTCCGTTTTTTACATTTATTTTGTTTTTTATTTTTATTTTTGTTTTCTTTTTTGCACTGCGACACGCTTGTCCGTTTTTTTGGGGGGGATTTTGTTTGGCTTTTGGTTTTTTATTATTATTGCACTTGTTGCCGCCGCTGTGAAATTCATCTCGGGCGTTTTTTAATGAGTGGCTCTTGGCAGCACAGTTGTATAACTACCCGCACTGCATATTCATTTATATCAAGCAAAGCGGAATATATAGCTTATAAACATTGTCTTTGTTTTTGCCTTTTGCAGTTGTTTCTTTCAACGTCACTGGAATTCAACTACGGCTTCTGTTCCGTTACAAAAGCGCTCTTGCTCCTCTCACTTATCACTTTCTGTCTCGCCCTCGCCTCCCACTCTCTCCGCCTGCTCTCTCTCCTCTCTCTTTCCCGCACACACACTAGAACGCAGCTGTTACGTAGTTGTTTTTGCCAAACAAAAATTCCATTTACTTTATAAGTTTAATATGCATTAATTGCATAAATGCAGCGTTTCTTAAAGGGGGTTTTTCGGGGTGGCGGGGAATGTGCTCGACTTGCAAACTGCAGTTGATTGAACCCGCTCTCTTGCACACACACGCACACACTCGCACACCCACGTTCCAATTGGAGAAGAGAAGAGAACCCGGCGCACCGATTGACAATTGGCGACTGAAATCAAAGTCGCCAAATCGAGCGAAAAGATACAAAATAAAAATAAAAACAACAACCACACACACCGTTGCAAAAAGTGGAAAACGCGTGTGCAGGGCAAGACGCGATAATATCACATTTTGTTGCTAATATTCTGTTTGACAGAGTTTAAAACGGAGCCACGCGAAAATAGCAACAAAGCAGAGAGTGAGAGTGCAATTGTGGGTGAGAGTGTGTGACCAAAGCAGAGAGTGAGAGTGCAATTGTGGGTGAGAGTGTGTGACCATCACGTCAATTTTAAGCGATCGCCTTAGAGCGTTGCCAGACGGTCAAAGAAAGCGACAGTCCGGTGGCACTGTTTACAACAGCTTTTTGACATCTGTAAAAGCTTTTAAAAATGGCGCGAACTTAAAATTCAAGCTATACACTTTAAAAATTTTTATTATCTTAAATGTTGAATAGGAAAATTCAAAATTTATATAAAACATTACACTGATGTAATCTTCTTTATATTCGCTATTTTTGTCATCATCAAAGGTTTGTAATTGTGTTTATTACTTTTTCTAATTTCCTTGTTTTTTGTTATAGATTTTGAATATGGGCACTTCCATATTGTCGCTCGGGACATTTGCACACCTTTAAAGTTGAAAAAAAAAATGGATTTTCATTTTAATAATGAGCTGTTCTGTTCACTTTTTTCAAGCTCTATTTTGTGTAAAAATCTTGATTTTGTACACCTTTTAGTTTTTAAGATATCGTTAAAAAACTGCCGTATTCGCTCGGGACAAAAATAGAAGTGGATTTCGGGGAAGTTCATTCAACAACAGAATTTAGCGAATTCTGATGGAACATTTGAATGTAATTTTTTTAGAATGTTATCCAAACATGTCGCTATGAAATGGTTTTGGTTTTACTCAAAAATTGGTTGCAGTTTTTTCTTATGCAGTTGCAACTACATTCGTTCGGGACATGTCGCTCAGGACATTTTTTCTTAGCGTTTTGTAAAGTGTATTTCTTTACCTCTATCCCTTAATTACTGGCTGTTTTGCATTTAACTTAAAAGTTTAACATGTAAATGAAGCATTCATTTGAGAATAATGTCACATATTACCATTCCTAAAGGATAAATTAACAACTGAAGACAGGTCCAAAAAATAACAAAAAAATAGCCAAAAACTAATTTTTGCGTATATTGGTGGGGTTTGTCCTAAAAATAATAATAATAACTATATTCCAAATTTTTTGTAAAGCTCAGGATCAAACTATTTAGAAACTAAAATCGGGGCAAAATCATGTGTACATATGTTTTATTCAAGTTTCAAGGTTTTTGGCTTGGTGGACCTTTTGGTGAAATTGCCCATATTTAAAAATTTATTAAATGTTCCAAATGCGATTTTGTTGAAATACTGCCAAGGAAGTTGTATTTCTAATCGACCAGGTTGAATAGAATCAAGATCTCTTTTGAGAACTTCAAAACCTTGAGCTATTGATAAAGAAATTAGTCCCGGTTTTCCATGACTTGGACAAACCATACAAACTTGTTCACAATTATGTTAGAAAAATTGTTTTATTGAGATATTTTTTGCCAGCTAACTGGTACAGTGGGTCACTATGGATATACATATACATAATTGGGGCTTTTAATATAGTTATTAATTATTTTATATCTGAATGCTCACTAAGTTTATAAAATACATACATTTTAGTGGTTGTTGCATTGTACCTTTATGCACTTAAAATTGTACATGTTCGAATATTTACAGTTAATTTAGCACATGTACCACGTGTATGGTGTTAAATAAATAATAAATTAGCATAAAGCAAATAGCTTATAGCGAATATAGAGAGAGGGGAGCTGAATGCATGACTTTCTCCATTCGGTTATGAAATGCGCTCTCTGGGCGACGACATTTTAGTGGTTTTACACTCGTTTTATGTATTTTACTGCATATAATATTACGTATAGCTTTAACTAGGTAGAAGAGTGTTCTCCGAATACGATTAGACACCATTTAAGTTAGTGGGGGGGTTAGGAGTAGAACGTAAATTGCACTAGGCCTTAGATTTAGACATAAGCATAAATTGTCACGTGCTGGAACTTGAATACAGGTACGAATTAGCAGCGGTCGCGGTTGTTGTACGCCTTCACCTTGGCCACGGTGCACTCGAGGGCGGCCCGAATGTCGGTGAAAACGGGCACGCCCTGCCTTTTGGCCAGGTCGATCAGGTACGACCGTCCGCGATTGTAGTCCTTGATGGCCGCCACAGTCAGCTGGAAGGTAATACGAGACGAATTAATAAGCTATTAACAAAGCTTGACCGCGACTCACCTTCTCGCCACCCAGGACACAGTCCTCGGGCAGCATCTGAACCGCCAGCACCACGTTGTACATGAGACCGATGCAGTGGGCGGCCAGGGTCATGGGTGCCAGGGAACGGGTCTCGTTGCTGATGACGAATAGCAGCACGCGGCTGGAGTCGAGCAGCGACGGGTTGTACAGGCTCTGGCGCACGGCGACCGGTGGCAGTGACCAGCTGAGCGACTCCTCGGCCACCGTCAGCTCCTCCTGTTCCTCCAGCTGCAGCTGGTTTCCCTTGCACTTTCGGCGAGTGCGCACAAAGGATCTCTGCTGCTGCTGCTGCTCTTGCGGCGGCGCAGCACTAGCCTGATCGTGGTTCTGGATCATCTGCTGGATGCTCTCGTGCAGCGCGGGGGTGTGAAAACTCACGCTCTTGGACTGCAGATAAGGGACAGCCAGCTCCTGACGCCACTTGGTGCGGAGAACGCAACTGCCGCCCAGGTAGACATCCCGGATATCCAGACCACCGCCACAGCAGAGGGCATCGCCGGCACTGGCTATTGAGCTGCTGCTGGAGAAGACCGAGTCGTTGGAATCGCTCTCCTCCTCCTCGGCGGCCACAACAACGGATGCTGTCGCCGGATTCGCCTTGGTCTCTATCGTCTTGGTGGTGATTATTTCCGTTGTCTCGATGGACTCCACGTTCAGCAGGATCTGGGGACGGGGGCTTTTACCCGTGGGCTGGGGCGAGGAGGTTCCACTGTCCCGGCTGCGGCCGAGTTGCTCGAAAGGGATCGGCTCATGACCGATTCCGCTGCTGCTGTTGGACGGAACACTGGCGTTGCTCGACGTGCGCGAAATATTCTTGCTGGCCGAGTAGTAAATGTCCACATCGGGAGCTGGTTAATCAGGGAAAAAAAAGGTTTATTAATTAATAAATAATTATTGATTTAGCTACAACTCACCGTTGGTGAAGTACACCTGCGGCGGCGGCACATTGGTGCCCTTGATGGGCGAAATGCAACCGCTCTCGTGGATCTCCTGCTGCAGGACGGACAGGTACGCCGAGATCACGCAGAACAGATCGAAGTCGATGAGCTCCTGGTTGGGCAGGATGGGCTGGCTGCAATTGCCGCCGTCGGCATCCACATCCACATCCAAATCCAAGTCATCTACGACAGCTCTTGTGCTGTGCGTTTGGAGCAATTTCAGCGATTCGCGTTGGTTGATTATGATCTTAGTTAGATTGTCTAAATTAACTAAACTCTGAGCATAGCCTAGGAATAAGAGAGCACGTTTGCACTGTTCCACAGTGAGCAGATCGCTTTGCGGATTTACACGATCAAAGGCGCCGCGAACGGTGCTAAAACGGAAAAAGTAAATAGTAAATATCATACATTGCGAGTAAAATCCTTTCTACTTACTCTAATATAGAAGATATTTTGGACGGAGGATCCCTGATGCCAGACAGGATATCCTTAGTGCGCTGCAGGCCCAAAGGTATGTTATCCAACACGGGCAGTCCGCGACGGGAGACCAGCTCCTTAAGTATCAACTGGTTGCGATTCAAATCGAGGTATTCTCTGAAGGAAAAACGAGGAATTTTTTGTATTAATTTAAATTTTAAACAAGAGAGAACGTTATAGTCGGGTGCCCCGACTATCAGATACCCGTTACTCAGGTAAAGGGAGTGCGAGGGAGATGGAGATAGAGATAGAAAACGTTGATCACGCATAACTTTTTAACGAATGGACCGATTTGAAAAATTTCTTCTACATTTCGATAGGTATTGATAAACACCATAAAACTGCATTTTTACTTTTCCGAAATATTGAAATTTTTAAAATCGTATATAAGGGATTGTGGGCGTTAGAGGGGGCGTGGCACTCTTTTAAAACAAACTTGCGCTGCGTAGGAACTCCTAGAATCTGCATGCAAAGTGTCAATCTTCTAGCTTTTATAGTTTCCGAGATCTCAGCGTTCATACGGACAGACGGACAGACAGACAGACGGACAGACGGACAGACGGACATGGCTAGATCGACTCGGCTAGTGATCCTGATCAAGAATATATATAGTTTATAGGGTCGGAAACGCTTCCTTCTGCCTGTTACATACTTTTGCACGAATCTAGTATACCCTTTTACTCTACGAGTAACGGGTATAAACAGAACTTTATCAAATACTCACTGCTGTGAAATAGGCTCATTGAGGATCTTCTGATTTGGTTTGTACGGATGCAAAACCAACACCAGCTGCTTGCAGTTTTGACCCGCTATGTGTGCCGCCTCGATGGCACCAGCAGATGCGCGTGTTTCCGAATCCATAACGAAGAATAATACACGGGCCTTTTCCTTAGCTCGATGCTCCAGCTCGATGAGGTCGGGCGTCCAATCGGATACTTGCTGTTGGTCAGGGAATTGCAAAATTAGCTGGGTCCTCTGAAGTATTCTGTTCCAAGGCATACTCACAGGATTGTAGAATGAAATGCCCAGCTCCTTGAGGGCTGGTATGGCCACGTCGGCTCGCCAGGTGGTTGGATTGCAGGATCCGCCAAGGAACACCTCAACGGGCTCGTTGCTGGCGTTCTTCTTCTTTTTGGTATCGTCCACGCTGCTGAAGGACTTTGTGCTCCTCAGTTCGGTCCCATGGTTATCCGGCTTTTTGGTGCTGTAGGCAGGTGACTGAAGGTGTTGCTTGGAGGTGCTGGCAGGATCATCTTGTTCCGGGAGCAGTAGTCCCGAGGTCAGAGACTGATAGTCGCAGTACGACGGCTGATTCGAAATAGTTGAAGCTCTGATAGGAAAGAAATTAAAGAAGTTTATTAAAAACTGGTACATCTGATTTTCAAATGTGTATATTACAAGAAGCTTAAGCTGGTCCAAATATAAAATATTTATTATTTGCTCTTAAATTCCCAAGTCTAATGTTCAAAACTAAATTTAACATTAGTGAGAAAGTATTTTTTTAAAAACTGCAAAACTGATTGGTTGCACATTTTGAAAAAACCCATAGTCTTAATACTGAAACTTACCTGAAGCGTTTCAGATCCGCGGCTAGCACACAAAACTGACCAAAAGTCAAGCCATTTGCCTGTCCACTTCCTCCCTTTCGGGCCACTTTCTTGGCAGTCTGCAACATTTCGCTAACTGTGTAGAAATAAATAAATTAAATAGCTACATTTAATGTTTTGCTAATGAAGAACTCACTCTGCTTTTGGCTAGGATGGAAGCTTAGCTCGTGGAAGAGTTCCTGCGTTCGCTCGTCGGGCACCACATTGCATCTGGCCTTTGCTCGCCATGCATTCAGAACTTCTCTGTAAGAACAAAAAGAGGGAAATCATCAGTGGGGAGCCATAAAAGTGTATCTTTGTTTGAGATTTAAAAATAAACTGCCCTGAGGTAGTGGTTAATTGAACGATTTATGAGCTTGTTGCGCAATTTATCAATTTATTGGCCTCCGGAAAGATTTGGTAAGAACTTATTTCCTATAAAATTATTTATATTTTACCTACATATACAAAGACAGTAATTAACGAAAATAATGAAATCAATTGTTATAACAAAGAAAGTTTGGATGAATCAGAATTGCATAAGGAAAATAATTGAATGATTTAATTGGTCACGTTGAGGCTATAACACGATTAATATTACATTAATCAAATAATAAGCAAATTATGAGATTTATGAATGTTAATACAGAGTTTAATAACACTGATCATTACTTTTTTAAACTCAGTTTTTAAGCCCGAGAGGCACAAAATGCCCAAATAAATCAACTCGGGAAATTACTTCAACCACTTGCCTCCTTATATAGAGGGATTACAGCAATGAACCCGCCCAAGGACGCAGCAACTGAACAAATTCCGAGCTTTAAGGGGTATATATATTGAATAAATCACTATAAGTCAGAATCGTACGCCAGTCACGTTTCTCGGGGCCGACACATGTTTTAAAACCCCCAATTTGAGTCATGTAAGCGCGAAAATGGAAAAGCAAATTACAAACAAAGCCAAAAAACTATTCATATATGAAAATATTACGAGATTTCTGTGGCAGCTTCGTCGGCTCCTTCTGTTTCTTCCGCCTTTTGGCAAGAAACCGCCGCCGTCATCATCGTCAGCAGAAGCAGCCAAATCATTGACAATTGCATCATTTGTGCAATGGAAATTTAAATATCGCGTATACGTAGCGTATGCCAGCCGCAATGGGAGAAAAACAGATTGGAACGGGATGGCAAGTAGCTAAATGGGTAATATTTATCGTATATAGCTGAACACAATTTTGCGGCGCAGTTACTTGATTTCCATTTTATTTCGAAACTGTTTTCGTTTTTTTTCTTTTTTATTTATTTCACTTGGTTCGAGCTTGAAATGGAAAACGCAAATATAATTCATCCAGAATATCGCTTATATTTCTTAATATATCTTTTGCGTTGTTGACAATTTGCACAGCACAGCAGAAAAGAAAAATAAAATGTTGTAATATAATGCGTAAATGACTTTAAATAAGTTTTATTCTGGGCTTTGTACACATTCGATTGAGAATCACGACTGAACTGAAGAATTTCATTATTAATGTATTTGGTTCTGAGCTGAGAATTATTTCACATGATTGTTGGCTTATCAACGATAGAGAGTGGAAATAGGCATTATTCTGGGAAATGACGTCAAGTTCAGTGACAAATAGAAGTCGGAAAAACAATTAAAAAGCTATTCTAAAATCCATTAAAACTAAGTCGAAGGCTAATATTAAGAAATAAATCAAAATTAACGTTTTTTTAGAATAAAGTGTTTTATTTGTAGATTATCAACTTTAATTTTCTAATATTATACCTCGACAACACAATACTCTTTAGCCATAACTTCTTGGCTTCTTTGTAAAATGGCGTAATATTTGTTTTTTGTTTTTATCATTAGGTATGCACAACGCATGATCTAAATCTGTAATATCCATAATAAAACTTCCCTTTACTTTTGAATCACCCAACGCGTTTGGAAAATATGTAATCACAATCGCAAACGAAACGCGTGTGCGATCGAGAAACCATGAATGAGGAGCAACATTTTTGGTTTTATAGCTCAACAAACTTGTCCGTTAACGGTTTGGGACGCTTCCCACTCAAACAAAACATAAGCTATGCCACAAAGGGGTAAAGAAACTCTAGTAACAAAGTCATACATGTTGAGCAAATCCCAAACCCAGGCGATTATGTCAGAAAAAGAGAGTGTTTTAGAAAGGAAGGGAAAGGTGAGGTAACCATCTGAAAATTGTGCTGCTAATGCAGCTTTTAAAAAGCTAGAATGAATTTAATTTGTAGCACTAATAGCACTATGCAGCATCAAAAATTAACCTCGATGAATGCTATATTTTTGGATTCGTTACGAATTCCCAAGTTAAACTGCGTTTTCCAAAGAGTTCCCCGACGCAAGGATTCTTAGCAAAAGGACCTCAAAGTTCGAAAAATGCTGAAATTGACCAACTTTGCGGAGCTCTCAGACGCAAATGGATGCATGGCTTGGTTCGAAGTTAAAGTTTTTTAAAAGATACACCCTTTATCTTTCAAACCCCATACATAAAATAATTTTAGGATTTTTTTTAAGGCAGAAATAAATTCCAAATAACATAGTCAAAAAACTGAAAAACAAACAGCTGCGGTCAAAATAGTAGCAGTGTTGCCGTCTTGTGTTTTTAAAAGTTTGATGTTGTAATTTTTTCTTATCCAATTAGTCTAATAGTAAAATTATAATCAATACAATATTACCAGGAAAAGATCAATTACAACAACAAACTTTTAAATACACAGGGCGGCAACACTACTACCATTTTGACCGCAGCTGTATACTTTTATGTTTTTTGACTATGATTTCTAGAATTTGTTTCTGCCTTAAAAAAATCTTAAAAATTTTTTATGTATTGGGTTTAAAAGATAAAGGGTGTATCTTTTAAAAAACTTTAACATCGAATCAAACCATACATCCATTTGCCTCTGAGAGCTCCGCAAAGTTGGCCAATTTCAGCATTTTTCGAACTTTGAGGTCCTTTTGCTAAGAATCCTTGCGTCGGGGAACTTTTTGGAAAACGCAGTTTAACTTGGGAATTTGTAACGAATCCAAAAATATAGCATCCATCGAGGTAAATTTAAAAAGCACTAAAAATGCTGCACAGTGTAGTTTAAGTAAGAGTATAGGGAGTGGATTAATAAAAATAAATAAAATAGTGAGATGATTTAATGGCCCGGATGCAATATTAGAGCCACATTTTTGAATTTACATCCTACGGATAAGCTTGAGATTATATTTTCTTTACCATATGACACTTGCATTTTAAGGATTCAAATAAATATCTGAAAACTAAAAACGAATTGCTTACAAAATTATTTTCAAGAATTATGATCCTGACTTCAAGATCTTCTGCACAACATCAATACATAATATTCACCTCCTAAAGCTCGGTTTCACACTCAATATTTTCGAATTTATGCTCCCATTATCTGGCAACGCAGACTGGTTGGCTAAGAGACAACCCAAAACCAAGTGCAGGCGGCGGTCAAACTTGTCTAGATGCCAATTACATGACTGCATCAACTACATCGACTAGGCACGCCCACATCCTCACATCATTCACTAAATTTGGCCTGGCCTCTCTTAAGTTTTATTTTGTTCTGGTCTGGCCTTCTATTTTTGGCCAGCTTCTGCCTCTGTTTGCCTCCGCGCCTTTGTGTGGGTGAAGTTGCGCCATATTTGCTACGTTTTTTCGTGTTTTTGGAATTTTTATGGCAAACAGACGCAGCAGCCGCAGAATTTATGCTTTGTTTACCACAAACACAAGAGAACCAGAGAGATTCGATCCATAAAGAGGAAGAGGAACGGCCGCCAGCCGATGATCAAATTTGGCTGTCGAAACATTTCCGGGAAGAGGGGAAGCCTGTATTGCACATGAGGAAGTGCAGCATCATTAAAATCAACAGATTTTCAATTTTGGTCATAAGTTTGCAAGCAGGACCAGTTTGAATAATCAGATGCTATACGTCCTGTTCAAATCTTCCCCTTAGAATGTAAGAGAATTTGAAAGCTTATATCTGATACTTAATAAACTCTTAAAAATGTATTATAAAAATCTTTCAATTATTCGTACAAAAATTGGGAATCGTTTAGCTGAGTCAAAAAGTTTATTTCTAGAATGCAAGTATTGGGACATATAAAGATTCCTAAGTTTTGCCTTTTTCATACTTTTATCTCAACTATATTTCATGTTGCCATCATTATATAAATATAATACTAGTAATCTAACTAAAAACGTATCACTTTTAATGAGACATTTGCAATTAAGTCAACACTTTTTGATTTCAGCCAAACCGACAATTATCAAACTAACGTTAATTTATGTTTATGTAACTCAAAAAATGAATGAAATACATCCATATTTAACTGAAAAAACAGGAAACAAGAGTGAATTGAGAAAGTTCCGGGATTCTTTCCAAATTTTTGACAGCTTACAGGTGGGATGGAGTTGATTTCAGGTGATTCACACGCTGTTTTCATGATGAAATTGTGGAACCAGATGGATTCTTAGAACCCGACATGATGAGCTACTAAAACTGCGACGAACTTTAGTGGTAAACAAGTTTTGCGTTCTCTTTTTATGCTGACCAACCGAGTGGAATAACAAATAAACAATGTATTTTAGCTAAGAGAAAAGGAGTCAATAACAAAGAGGTATTCAGAAATGTCGGAATTATTATCAGAGAGCCGCCCGGCTACCGGAAATTCGCCGTGACCCATTAAAAGGTAAGCAGATAATAAGCCAAGGTCCTCTCGCTCTTTGTCTCTCTATCTCACCTTTACTATAGGCCCTACGTGCTAAAGATAACGTTATAACATTTCTACATGAATCAAGACAAGGCAATCTATAACTGGCCTATCTCCCGATAACAATACGAAATTGCTTATAATGAAATCCTAGTGTGTTTCCACTTAGTATAAGCCATTAGGCCATATGGGAGATAAAAACGGAGTATTTGACATTTTCAGAGCTCTGATTCATCCGATAGTGCGATTAATCATTGCTGATTACAGCATTTATCTGTTTGGGGCTATTGTCATTTGAATGAATGAATGTTGGAATCAATTAAATATATCTGTTTCGTAAATATACCTTATCATACTGAGACAAGAGTTTATGAATGACATTTAATATGAGTTTTTTATACATTTCTATTAAAGACGTTATATCTCCTACAAAAAAAAAGGAAAGGCAAATTACTAAAATACTCTTAATTCAAATATAAAATGTAACAATATTATTATAAAATATA